TGTGTGTGTGTGTGTGGCTTCATTAGCGAACAGAGGCGGTCTGTTCAGTAGTTTGTATCAGAGTGGCGAACTCTCATCACTACTAATGAGAACAACATCACCAACCTCCTGAAACACTCTGTTCCTCCAACTCTCCATCAATCTCTCTCTGTGTTCCTCAACTTCTTCCCTCTCAGCTTCCTCTCTCTCTCTCCGCCCTGTAATTCCCCATTTTAAAGAGTCGCCAAGATGACCAAAATTACATAAAACTTACCTCAAGTATCTTTGTCATTACCACCAAGATAAGATAAATAAATGGACCAAACGTTAACCAAAGAAATGAGTCAAAATCACAAGATAGTAAATCAAACTTTGGTTGATTTTGGGTGGCTGAGGCCAATATTGGTCTCGCCGAATATTCTAGTTGGTCTCGATCAACGACATATAAAGATGGACGACATGACAGCTCTCCAAAAGTGAATCCAGACCTTCTCTTTCGCCCCCTGGTGGCTGACTGCAGTGTAGCCAATAAAGCCCGCTGTGTTAGCAGATCAGACAAAAACTAAAAGTCAAGTCAAATAAATTTTTCCCAAAGATGGTTTCTGTCATTTCAGGTCGTTCTTATCACGCTGATGTTAGTGTTCGTTTTTATCATCTGTTTGATTTTAATTAGTTATTTAAAGTTATAAAAAGGAGGTTTCACGTAATAATTGACAGCTGAGCCCTGTTCGCCGTTGAGTCTACCGGGCTATTGGGCCGGACCTCGATACCACTGTGCCGACCGCGATCACTACTGTGCAGACCCTGGCTCCGAATGGCAAAATATGGCAGCAGCTATATCCGGATATTTGGACTTTAATAGTCTGGACTTCGTTAGCATTCGCTCGGCTCGCTTTTTCTGGTCTTCCTCTGTGCACACAGTTTGCTCCGTTGTATAGACCTACAGTAACATCATAACAAATGGTTGTATATGATTTAGATGTGAATGTCCTCCTTGACCTTCCTCTGGTCGATGACCTCTAACCCCTTTTCACAGCTCAGTTATCACATGACCAAGGTTTTATACTTTTGTACGAAAGCTAAACCAGCTCTTTGTCATCTGAACAACTTGTTGAAAGCTCCAGAAAAGGCTAAAATTCTGAATATTTCATCAGACTTTGATTTGTCCCAGCAGTCTCACATTATCTGTCTGTCTGCCTCAAACATCATTTCCTAACTTCCCTTTAAATTTGTAAATCCCCTTCATTGGTTGTCGGGGGTAACCAGGCAAAGACGGGGGAGTGAAAAGAGACTTGCATTGATTTGGAAAAGAGTTTCTAAATTGACCAAACTGTGTGGGTGCGTGTTCTTTCTCACACGTGAATTTGGGCTGGTATCCCATGGCGACGGGACAGTAGTGAGGTCATTGATATGCGGCGCAGCAGCTCTGCTGAGGGAAAATCCTCCTCGCTCTTATAAGCAGGGAGGAAGGATTCCTTTACACCGTTTAAAACTACATCAGAGACAAAAGTCTCTAATGAGTTTCTGAAAGTCTTTTTGTGAACATGAATCCAATTATTTCTGTTGTGTTTCGCCTCATAAAAGGTTCATTTAGTGTACCCGCCTTGATGTCTCTGCTGAAGCCAATATCTGAGTCCATTAAATTCATGATTTTGATTTCCTTCTTCTCTCATCAGATAGTTCCTGATTTAAATCTGAATTTTGCTGGTTTTAGAGTGTATTTAATTAAGACTTGTGTTTCTCAAACCTTTTACATCACCTCAGAAAAGAATAATAAGAAGATTCATTATTGTTGACTGATTTTTTTGTCAAGAACCAGAGCTAATTTGGTGGAAAATGGTCCTCCTGGCCCACACTTTTCTTCCCAGTAGTTCCTGGTTTGGAGCCAAGATTGCAGTGTTTTTGGACCATTCAATTTACCTCTACTTACTACCTCACCATCCTATCCCTATCCTATCCCCCAGCGTGATACACAGCAGGCTGATATCGAAACAAACAAATCGGATGAAAGGAAAAACGTTTTTAATAACGTAACTCTAAATTTCATTTCAGTGATCTCATAGGTATAGTTTATATTATTTTGATTATTATTATTTGTCAGGTGAGCAAGACCTTTAAGTCTTTCTTAACTCTCTTTAATGTTCCGTATGTAAGATTTAGTAGCATCTAGTGGTATAGTTGCAGATTGCAACACTCAAATTTCACCCTCCTTTTCCAACTGCAAGGGAGAAACTACAGTGGCCAGGAAAAATGTGAATGTAGAGCCACTGTTTGTCCGTTCTGGGCTACTGTAGAAACATGGCAGTTCAACATGGTGGACTCAATTGGCTCAATCTAAGGTAACAAAAATCTCCTTAGTGTTTCTTAAAGCTATAATCTGTATTTTCGAATAAAATGTCTATAAACACTAGATTTAGGTTCTGTATGCAGTGCCGTCGTATAGGGGGGAAAGGTGATGACAATTCTAAGGGCCTACAGCCCATTAGGGCCCACACACAGCCCCCAGTAGCCTCTATGACTAAATTATTATGCATAGACTTAACTAATATATATTCATACTAATGAATCCGAGCTAAAAAAAAAAGCCACAAAGTCACACAATATTTTAATTTTAATAATTTCAATAACCCCCTTGGCCCCTTCTTAAAAAACGGTTTGGTCCATGGTTCGTTCTTCTTCATGGGAATTAAGTGAGCGCGAGCAAACTCCAGCAGGGAGTGAGGGAGATCAAATAAGATGATGGCCCCAAAAAAACACAAATCTGGACACCAGAAAAGACTTGAGAGGGAGGCCAGGAGTAGGAGCAGCAGAGCAGGGCCCAGGGACATCAAACCATTTTTTCTCCTAAGAAATGGTGAGAGTAAAACTAACCGAGGGCGGCTGAAACCATCACTTGTTCTTTCATTTATTGTCTGTAACCTCTGACCTTAGACGAGGCGCAGGGGCTGGAGCCTACGTTAGCTGTCATCGGGTGAGAGGCGGGCTACACTCTGGACAAGTCGCTAGTTCATTGTAGAGCAACGATTCCTAGTGTAGCTAACTGAACGTTACTAATCTGGAGGCTATCTACAGCGGACTGTGTGTTTCACACATATTCAGACAGTGCTCCAGTAAGCACCCACTCTGTACTCTGCACTGTATTACACCAGGCACCGTCAAGAACACTGAGTACACAGTTGTAAAAAAGTGGCAATGAAAAATCTTGGAGTAGAGGGGCCCACGCTGTTATTTTTTCAGGGGGCCCAGAATTCTTAGCAACTGCCCTGTCTGTATGAAGGTTGTGTACTTAAATTATCCCAAATGTTTCCAACAGTGTTTAAACTCAGAGAATCATTTTATTCAGGTAATGATGCTTTTTCTACTAGCCTCAAGTTGCTGTAACGTAAGGAAAAATAAACTGAATAAAACTTTAATACATTAACTCACCATTGAACAATTTCAGCCTGAGTTACGTCAGATAGATTTTCATCAGGACCGGTGGTCGTTTAACAATGACAACTCCCATGATCCCACACTACTTCACAATGTCATTAAACTACGTCTTTTGTTATTGTTTTGATGTTAAAGACCCCCTACAGGCAGAAATTGCATACTGTAGGTTTAACATAGAAATTCAGGACTCTCCTGAATGATGTATACATTTATGTTCTGACCACCAGTTTAAATTATTTCAACTTCATTTATGGGAAATCAGATGTTGTCCGTCATTTTGGCTGATGTCTCAAACTACTACAATACCCACAAGCCTCAGCTGACGTTGCTATGGAGAAGAAGCCAGTCAGAGCTGTAGTGAATTCAAAATACTTAGTAACATAATTCATCCAAAATGTATTATTATTATAAATTAAGCATAATTTTTAGCTTTCACCTACCGCTAGCAGCGCAATTTTAACCTCATTAACTAGATGCTTCTTATCTAAATGCACCTTGGGAGTTGTAGTTGACTTCTTTCCTCCAGTTTTTATGTCCACAAGCTTTACCTTTTTCAAAGAACCTCATATTTTCCAACACAGTTTTTCATCTTTTGGACTGATGATTCCATCAGGAGAGTTTTATGTCCATCCAAGCCGAAGACGAGCTTCAACGGTGAGTCATGTAACTTTGACTGCAAAAAATTAATTGGACTTACTTCCAGAACCATGGGCTCCTGAAATAGCTCCTCCCACTCCCAGCTGCAGATTTAGGCCTGCAGGAAGCATACTGGGCTTGAATAAAAGAGGCCTGAGCATGTTGTGGTGATATGGCTCAGCTTGATGGATAACATCATTATTGCATCAATAAGTTTTCCAGACAACTGCAGTTTAAATTACTCACATTTATTTATAAATTACCACCTCTTCACCCGATTTGTCCGTTTATGCCTTGTTCACAAGATAAAAACAACACAGTTTTACTGTAAAAGAAAAATGTAAGACAGGCACCAAAGTTAATTTGTTTTGTGTGGACTGTCCCTTTATTAAAAAGTTATTAAGGAGGCACTTAATGTCAACTTTGTTCACATTTACAATTAACTCAAACACGACACTGGTGGGACTTAAGTTCCTAATATGTCTTGTTTCTTTTCAGATTTATATAATAGACCAAACAGCATGTGAAGGAAACATATTTACCATCTGTAAATAGGGACCCAAATGAAAATGTGATCACTGTCATAGTGCTGTATATCAAATGTAAACCAGCTGTATCTAAGTTTTCTGTGGAAATTTAGTAATGCTCCACATGTGAATCATTATTTAAGGCAATAAAAGTGACCTCAAAAGATCATCTTTTGATAAAAACCACTGTCAGTGGTAAAACAACACTGCTAACTTTTCGTTGAAAACTTACAGCAGCAGGTCAAAACATTGACGCAGTTTTGTCTCTTGAAGGAGCTGCTCACAGTGTGAAGTTAGTCTGACAAGTTTCTACTCGCTGTTTGTTGATTCAGACACTGACAGTCCGGAGCTGAGGAGACACTAAGGCACAATCGGCTCTGACATATATTATTGGTGCCACCCCGTTGTTTTGACAGAAACCTTAATAGTCCAGAAAATGTCCAATTTGTTTGACAGCCTGTTATTCCGAAAACAAACGCCTTTTGCTCCGAAGGCCTGTTGTCCCAAAAATACACACTCTGGTATCACCAACTCAAGTATGTAACTCAACTGATGTAACTAACATATTGGTTTTAAGCCAAATCATGATCTTTTACTTAATCCAAAGAAATAGTTTTGATGCCTAAACATAACCAAACTGCGACGGTTTCACAATGTTAACCACATGTTAAAATTACAACAAAGGTCACCTTGCTTTGACTTTTTCTGCACATCCAGTGTGTATTAAAACAAGGCCTTCACAGCAGTTCTTGATGGTTTACAGGTAAGCTGTCTGACAAATGGGCTTTCGGTCCAAT